TTTCTCAGTGATATCCAGCCGTTTGAGTTGAATTTAACATAATTTATGGCCCGGCCAAAAAGCAGTTAATTCAAGAACCTCATCATAAATTTTCATACTTGACTTTCCTTTAAGTGAGTCATTCCAATTAATTCCTCATAAATTAAAACAGCAGATAAAAATTTATGAATGCCACATTCAAAACCGTAGCATAATTTCTTAGTTGGACTCAGCAAGGGATTAAAAGAAAAAATAAATCATCTATGTAATGACGAATTCACGCCGAAATTGAACAATGCCGAAAGCAAGAACAAGACAAAGATATGTCACTGTTTGAACATATCACAGATCTGCTGTTCACAGATTCATTACCTATATCACTACACAGTCTATTTGATCGACGCCCTGCATCATGAAAACATCCTCTGCGATTATCACAAGTGTTATCTTAACAAAGCAGAACTGGAAGATTTGATTATTCTAACATTTTAATTGACTTTTCCCTGCGGCACCTCCATTCATTTTCTCGCGAAATAAGAATTATGAATTAAATTTATCAGGCTTTGCTGCGCTTCTTAAATATTTTCATCTGATACACACTGACACGTTTCAAAGTGCTGATAAAACTAATGGCTTTAATGAAACAATTAAATTTTATTCGGTATGTAAGCTGAAAGATAAATTAAATTTTCTAAGGCAAAAGGTGCTGCGAATCTTTTATTAACTTAGCGTGACGGATTTTAGTTGAGAAATCCATTCAATACAAATGTTCCGTTTTTGTAATCTTTTCCTTTTGTTTAATCTAAAGTAAATTGACGTTCGGAGAACGGAATTAAAAAAAAAATCAGGTCAAATACTAAGGGTTGTTTTTCCTGAGCCGTTCAATATTTTTACGGCGCAAATCGATCACTCCCAGACCACAAGGCGTGCTACCAAAACCACGAGATACCAAATTGTAACGAACGAAACCGGATTCGTATTGCGGTGTAATCTGGCATTAATATTTACTTCAGCTGCAAGGGGACTCACTTAAGCCTCCATTTAACAAGTTTCATTAAAGCTATACCCTTAATTCAATGTTAAAATTACACTCTGAAGTCAAAAGAATACCTATTACACAGATGATTTACTTTGTTTTCTCATGGAAATTTTCTCTATCAAGCAGTGTTCTGTGGACGAGATTTACACACACGAACGCGATTCACACGCGTTTGCTTGTTTAGGAAAAGTTTGCTCGGCGAGAATTGTAATTACAATCGAAGTCACTTTGTTGGTAATCTTTATAATCAAGTTCGGCTTCAATTTCCTCTCTTTACCAAATAACTCACAAATCAGTTTCGACCAGTTCATTAGCATGAAACAATCTGCCTATCGAACGACAACCAATGAGATGCGAGCAGTGAACTCAAGTTTGCGTATAGAAAAACTCGAATAAATTTTCATTACAGTAACATTTGTTCACCCCGACTGATTGAAATAAATTTGATAGCCAGCTTGAAACTGCCTTCAAACTCTTCCGAGAGCTCAAGAGTCAACACTTCGCCATTGAAACGCCAATGTTTTACAACTTTGACGGTTCATCGCCAACAAGCCAGGAAAGCAGATCATAATCAGTCCAAAATCGTATGAAAATCATGCCGAAATCCTTCCTGGTTCGAGTCCGCAAGGGGCTTGCAGAAATCTCTCACAGCGCGCCTAAAGGTTTGAAATGAATATTTTTGTGTTTTATGTATGTTAGTTTTTACCAATGTTGCTAAAACCAAAACTTTCTTTGTCCGTTATTGAGTTACAACCCTGCATTAGATTTAAGGGTAATGCAGTATTTTCCAGTTTTGGGGCGGGCTTAGAGCAGTATTACTTCGCTTCTTTCACTGGAAGTATGCTCCACCCTAAGATCAGTAGAAAACTTATTCATGTGATTCCTCAAGAAGCTAAGCCTCGGGATAATGTTGGGTTTTTTTTTCTTCATAGCAATCAAAATGTGAAGAGTTTTGGTCACACTCTAATCACTTCTTCTTCAAATATTCCATTAAACGAAAAGGTTGAAGAGTATATGCTATGCGTACACTAACATTTTTCATGAACAAAGCCTTTCATCAAAAAAATTTGGGGCTCGGCGCAACATGATAAAGAGAGATTGGAAAAAGAAAACTTTCACATGTAATGTGACAAAAAGAAGCCGATGTCAGATATCTTATGCCTTGCTTACTTTCCCTCCTTTCAGTGCACTAAATAATTCATGGCCCTGCTTTATAAAGTTTTCGTATTCCTTTTCAATTGGGTCTTTGTTTGGTTTACACCCAGCTGAGAGAACTGAAGAAATTTGATTTCCTTTAGAAATTTGATTTCCTCCAAAATCACAGTTTTGAACGTTCAGTCGAAAAGCTCATTTGGTTCAGGGCCGGATATGAGATGTTCGCCTTTCAGCCGGCGCTTAAGCAAACAAAACAGAAAAGAAAGGTGAAAAGTGTCTCTTATCTGTAGGACAATAGATGGCTTCACAAAGCACATAAAGCCGATTTCGTATTTGTGCTGCCTTCGTGGGAAGGGATCCGGTTGTATTGAGGATTTCAACCCGCAGGAGGGCTATATAAGGACGATATTTACCGGTTGAAATGAGATGAACTTAGGTTATGCAGAATTTATAAGCTACCTAAAAGAAAACATGAATTTTTACCAGCTCTTCTTGAGCGAGAAGCGGAAAACATTTTACGGCTGATTTGAAGATACGAGTTCGTTCAATTTACTTCCAATGAAGTTAATCTCCATAATGAGTTAACTCCACTGAGTAAATAGTCAGTGATTAAAGGGGAAACATGTACTCAGTTCACCTGCTCCATTCATATCGTAACCGACAATTATTCAATCTCAAACTTTCTTTATCGCTCGAGTGATATTGCGCACGAGGTTTCAAGAAGCGCTTGTTACGTTAATACATTTCATCTTTTGAAGTGTTTAAATCAGATCGTATTTTAGATTCTATTGCCAAAACAGACGGAAAGTTCAATTTTATATGTCATCGGGAAACTAACGACTCTCCAAGCTTGCTATGAATGAAAAAAAAAGTCGGGATTTGTTTTAAAGATATTTTATGCTCTATTCAAAATTACACAGGAAACATGATCAAATAGACGAAAGTAAGAAAACTACTGGCTAAGATGTTTATCGCATTCCTTCTTTTGATAATGAAGAAAACTCCGATCAGAAACAAAACTCTCTTCACCTCCTTTGGCTCCTTTTAAGAACTTCTTTTTAGGGAAATATTTCTTTGATTGCCCTTTCTTTCGTCTTGATTAGAATACCTTCTCGAAAATCGTCCATGGGGCCTGGCTTGGTGTTCTTTCACGTTTCTTGTGTTAAATGATTCTGCAAGACGTTAAAGTCGCTGAAATTCATCGCAAAAATTCAAATAAATCGAAAAAAACAACCCACAGAAGTTAGAAGAAATTTTCGGGTTAAAAACTTCCTCTTTGCGCAAAATGTCACCATAAGAAATCGTTGTTGGATAAACACTAGAACAGTCGCTAACACTCAACGAGAGAAAACTAATACTAAACATAAATAACTTTGAAAGCAACTTCCTACTTGTCTTCCCGATTTTTCCGGAGTGCATTTCAAACAGTCACTTTCCTATGATATGTTCAGATTTAATGTGAATTTGTCTTCTGAAGGCTAGAACTTTTAAGCTTCCGCTCTCTTATATTCTGCGTTTTTAATTTAGAGCATATCTGGAAAAATAAACAGATTTTTCTTTTTTGCTTTCATTATCACAAATGAATAAATCTGTTTATAGTGGATTCTCATATTCAGCTCAGTTCTTTAGGAGGTCTCAGAAACATATGGAAACGGATTTGAAGGAATCAGACTTGAACAACTTCAGACAATTTGTTCAGATTACAGGACATGAATTGTGAAACTCGATTGTTTTCCGTTGTGTAGACCATAACGTCTCTCTTACCTTGATTATTCCGTTATTTTCCCATATTTTTATCCAAAATAACGTGTGACTGCCTTTTTTCTAGTTTTCTTTCGTCATGAACACTTTCCACCTGATACTGAAGCTTGAAAAAAACGACGTGTTCGAATCAAGCGATTTTTATCTTTAGAATAAGCGATTTCTATTTCATCCGTTATCTGTTATGAAAAGGAGCTAATTACTCAGGAAAGTGCGTGGTGTGAAGAAATTGTTTGGCTTTTGGTAAACAAAATCGTTTATTTATAGTAGGTTCTTTCTCGGAAACGCGAGGTACTTTGTCTGAAAATACTTTTTTGGGGGGAAAAGTTTTCTAATTCAGAAAATTTGCGACACACTAATAGGCGCATAAACTATACTTGTTTGTTTACACTTAAAGTTGATGATTCTCCGAAAATGACATTTGAAACTAAGAAGAATTTTGAAAAATAAGACAACAAGAAAAAAAAGAAACTCGTCAGACAGCCAGAAATCGTGTAAATAACACGCTTTATCGATACCGCGCCAGGTTAGGTATAACCATTGCACCATACTCAATCGCAAACCAGAGACAAGGTTACAAATTTACCTTGGTAGCTTAGGGCATAAATAAGGCGGTGGCTTCCTACTGAGTTGCAAATTTATTGTCTGAAAAAAATGATAGTTGGGGGCCTCCTGTTAACGATAGCTGGTGGTTTACTATTTCCTATTAAAGGAGTTAATTTATTTGCCGTCATCAACTTTAAAAGTCAAACTTGCATCTTATATCAGGTGGAAATCAGTAAATTCATTAATGGGAAAAAGCGATAAATCGATTTCGGCATCCTTAAAGGTCTAACCTCCGCAGCCCACCTAAACTTTCTGGATGCAGAATAATGGCTCCGTTCATGCACAAACTAATTCATTAGAATCACCTCCTATTTATATTTAACGTTAAGAAATTTTTATCCTTTCTCAGAACTCAAGATTCACGAAAGTCATGTTCCACTCATTATTCCGAAGTCAAACGAACAATGGCTATTGGAACAAAGAGCTTCAGTAATTGTAAACGCATCTAGTCAAAGGATCGGTCATCCACCCGAAAGTAAATCATGCACCAAGGACATGAAACACTTATTTAGCCATGAAGATAAGCTTTTCGAGGGAAACGATAAAACGCGTGCGTATCGTGAAAACGAGTCTCACAAGTCCGACTGTCATGACACATACGCGTGCAACACGTGTCAGAAAATGTTTTGCACGCCGCACGGTTTGGAGGTACACGTGCGACGATCTCATGCGGGGAATCGACCGTACGGCTGCTCCACGTGCGGAAAAACATTTAGTCATTACGTGAGCCTAGCGCAACACAGGAAGACGCATTCAACTGTTAAAATATTCGAATGCAAGACTTGCGGGAAACATTTCAAGCGCTCCTCCACCTTATCTACGCACATGCTGATCCACGCTGATATCAGGCCTTTTTCTTGTGATTACTGCGGGAAGAGATTCCATCAGAAGTCAGACATGAAAAAGCACATGCTCGTTCACACGGGCGAGAAGCCTCATAAGTGTCGCCAGTGCGGCAAGTGCTTCAGTCAATCTTCTAATCTCATTACGCACAGCCGTAAGCATCTGGGATTTAAACCTTTCGCTTGTCCTACGTGCAGCAGAGCTTTCTATCGTAAAGTGGACTTAAGGAGGCACAGCCACGTTCATCGACTCAGTTACCACAGCAACGGTAAAACTTTCGGAGAGCTATGCTTAAATCAGACCTTACTTATTTCTACGTCGCCTAATTGAAGAACTAGACAGTAACTAGTTCAGATCTCCAGTAATTTGACCGTACTTTGGGATACTGATGCAACAAGAGTGTCATTACTTCTGAACAGTTGCCTTGATTGGCTTGTTAAGAAGGAGTTTTAGTCTGATAACATTTTACTTAAAGTATAGTAGTATTATCGCTATGCCTATGGCTTAGTAAATATGACTTTAATATCACAGTTTTCTTCGAGAAACTTGAAACAAAAACCCAGGACGTTTTCTTTACATGTAGAACTTTCCCAATTTGTGAGCTGTTAACGAAAACGAATAAGCACAGAAAATTCCCATGGCTTGGCCCTTTGAAATAGATAACTAATAAGTAACTCGCGCTGCTAATGCAATGTTTTCCTTAATTCAATTAAATACAAAAATTATGTGTTGAGAAATAGAATTCCATGTTAACTTCACCCGTGGTCATCACGTGCCGCAACGAGTTAAAACAAATTGACCTGCGTTTAAGCTTACGCAATTTTTTACATTAAAAACGTGACATACATTCAACCAATCAAAATTATAACATAACCAAAGTAAAGCGCGCGCTCTGATTGGTCAATTTAGCGTCCCCCATTTGCCCATGGGTGTACGCTGCTGACGTGAGCAAATGCAAAGACTATTTTTCCGCGCGCGCTTGTTTTTTCTGGTC